TTCACTCTATTCACATACCTCTGGTAGCGTAAAGGTCTACGGCGAGCTGAGTAGGCCATTCGTAACTAGCAGCGGTATTCGTCAAGAGTGCCCTCTTTCGCCATTCCTGTTCAATTTCGTCATAGACGAAATACTGGAGAACACACTAAGTGGTCTTCAAAATGTAAGTATTGAATGGGCAGCTGGAGAAAAGCTGTGCGATTTGGAGTACGCTGACGACATCGTCTGTTTGCTCCAATCTATGAAGGATGCACAAAGAACACTTGACAGGTTAGGAAGTTCCGTCGCTCCGTTCGGCATGGGCTTTGCACCTTCAAAGTGCAAAGTAATGCTAAAAGACTGGGTGTCCCTGAGTACTGTTCTGAAACTAGCCGGTCAGGAATTAGCTGAGGTTGACTGCTTCTCGTAAATAGCTGCGCAACCAACGATGGCAGTGCATCAAAGGAGATAACCGCTTGCATTTACAAGGCTCGAGCAGCGTACGCAGGACTGAAACACTTGTAGCGACGAAGTGATGTTTCATTGAAGTTGAAAAGTCGCGTATACTGCGCCACTATACGAGTAGTTCTGGTTTACGATTGTGAAATCTTGAATTTGCGGGTAGAAGACACCCGTCGTTTAGCAGTGTTCGACAATCGATGCTTACCTAGTCTGGCCCGGGTTGGATGGAGTGAGCGGGTTAGTAACTTAGAAGTAAGTCGTGAAGTGTTTGGGAATACATCAAACAAGAATCCTCTATACCATCGAATTCAGCTCAATAGGCTCAGTTGGTTGGGACACGTTCTGCGTATGTTCGACGGTCGCCTACCGCAGCGCGCCTTGTTTGCAGTGGCTTTTACAGGCTGGAGAAAGCCACGTGGAGGCCAGCAGATGGCGTGGAGACGAAGCACGAAGAAATGCACAGAGCGATTAGGTAGAGTAGATGTCTCTCGTCTTCTGGGTCAGGGTCCAAAAGACTCCAAAACCGCATGGTTAGAGACACTAAAGGTCATGGCTGCGAACTGACCACAATGGTGAGCTTGCTGTCATTTCTTATCAGTCCAGAATGCTTTAACTAGTATGTATGCACAGTTGAGCTGTGAGCTCTTTATGTTGATCATAGAGGTTTGCTTTCTTTTCCCGTCCCTGAAAATAGGCCCAATCCCTGTCCTCCTTACACATTGTCACTTGTATGCATTATGAATTTGGCAACGATCAGTGAAGCTCGCTTCATTGTATTACGTTGTACAATGATAATGATGATGCTATCGGGCAAGCAACACAGCTTTGTTAAGGGGAAATTGTGTTTGACAAACCTGCTAGCATTTCTGGACGAGGTTTCGGCCAGACTAGATAGAGGATTCGGAGTCGAATGTGCGGTTCGTCTCCAGGGCTCAATCAGCGTCGGGGGGGGGGGGGGGGAGNGGGAAGCAAAACCAAAAGCTGTTTGTGCATCATAGCAGCATACGCACCGACTAATTGCGGTTCTGACACAAAAGGATGCTTCCTACTCACCGATTTCATTCGGATGAGTCGAAGCTCCAACATAATAGTAATAATAATAATAGTAATAATAGGTGACTTAAACGCACAGGTTGGAGAATTGGGCGCATCAGAAGCTTGCCTAGGCGGTAGTTGTGCTCTGCCCAGGCAACGAACAGATAACGGCGACCGACTTCTTCAGTTCTGCGCAGACCATCATCTGTTCCTAGCAAGCACCCAGCTCTCGGCAGATAGCAACGTGGCGCTCCAGTTCAACTAGTACGCAAACTCAAATCGACCACATCGCAGTAGGTTACCGTTGGTGTGGCTCAGTGCAAAATTGTAGGTGCTATTGAACCACCTGTGTTGAGTCTGACCATGCGTTAGTTTTGATGCAGTTCACTCTTAGACTGAGAAATTCAGCAAACTCGTACAGTTCAACATCGACTATCTGTTCCAGCCGTTCATGCACGCTATGAGTCATAGCTGGTGCGTGAGCTAAGCGCGCCTTTAACGTGATGATGTAAATAAGCAGTGGGACCAGAATAGGCAAGCTACGAATGTTGCTTGTGGGTCTGAGCCTCATGCCCGACGGAGGCATTGGATGTTTGATGAGTCTGTAGCACTGATGGATCAAAAACGACGAATCCCGACCTGTCAGGACCAAAACAGGGTTAGGTGGCGTCTGCAACGTCGTCCCACGAAGAGTCAAGAAGGACTGTGAGAACTGGTGGGCAACAATAGCTAGTGAAATGGAAGTAGCGGCTGCATCAGGGAATAGTCAAAGACTGTTCTGACTGATACGCAATACGGGAGGTCGGCGAACTCGTTAGTGAAACAGTCTGCGATAAGAGGGGACGAGCTATTTACGGGATCAACGACTCGATCGCTGGGCAGAATACTTCAGTGAACAGTTCAGCTAGCCTGCCGCTATGCAGGTCACTTCATCTGTACCCAAAGCTCCGCGGGCAGTGTCCTGCGATTCTCCAACAGAAGCATTCAAGCTCTGAAGCGAGGAAAGGCAGCAGGACCGGATGAGCTCCCTCTCACTCTTTTGAAATGGGGGGGGGGGGGGAGATAACCTCGTACGCTCCATTACTACCATATTGTGCAACATTTGGATGCAAAAACATTCCTTCATCTTAAGACGAGTCACTGATCGTTCCCAATTTCAAGAAAAAATTTCGCAACGATTGCAAAAACCACGGCGGGATAAGTTTGATAAGTTTTTGGACGTGAAAGAAGATTTCGATTCAGTTGACCGCGGAACTCTAATGGGTTCCCTTCTTCGGAAAGGAATGCCCCAGAAGTACATTAACTTACTGAGGTCATTATACTCACAGACCTCCGGTCGTGTAAGAGTTTACAACAATCTGAGTAAGCCGTTCGTTACCAGCAGCGGCGTCCGTCAAGGATGCCCTCTTTCGCCACTCCTGTTCAATTTCGTCGTAGACGAAATACTGGAGAACACACTAAGTGGACTCCAAAGGGTAGGTATTGAATGGGCAATTGGAGAAAAGCTGTGCGATTTAGAGTACGCCGAGGACATCGTCTGTCTGCTTGAATAAATGTGGGACGCACAAAGCGCGTGATGATGATGATGATCGTCATCGAACTCACAAACTCACAATGCATACAAGGTTAGTGGCAAAGTTTAAGGTGGACAGGGGTTTGATCTATTTTGAGGAAGGGAGAAGAAAATGAGCCACTATGGTCAACACAGTACGCAATCGAACTCTGCATGCATACCGTTTCAAGCATTCTGACCTGATGAGAAACGAAAACAAGAACGCCACTGCTGCCGGTCCGCTGTCATATACTTCAGTGTCTCCGACCAACCAGTTGTGGAGTCTTTCGGGCCCCAACCTGGAAGGCGAGAGACACCTACTCTACCTAATGGCTCTGTGCATTTCTTCATGCTTCGTCTCCACATCATCTGTTGACCTCCACGTGGTTCCTCCAGCCCGGATTAGCTACAGTGAATAAAGCGCGGTGCGGCAGACGATGGCTGGGCATACCCAATACGTGCCCTAGCCACCGAAGCCTGGTAATCTGAATTCGGTATGCTAGCAGGTTTATACTTGACAGACTTCCAAACACACGACGTCTGTCTGCTCGAATGAATGTGGGACCCGCAAAGTGCGTGATGGTAATGTTGAAGGTGTTAAACGAGCAGGTTGATAAATGTTCACGTAGAAGCAGTATGTATGCGTATTTTTAAAAATCACGTTTCCCGATCTATGCTGTCCAATCTTTACATGACGGTGTTGTATAAGGTAGTGCTCATTTATCTTCTCGTTTGACCTGAATCCCTGCACCTTATACTGCCTCCAGATTCCTACTCCTCGGTTCATTTGGGTTTTCAGCAGTCAGTCAAACAACTGCCATAAAGGTGTAATGGTGTAATGTTCATGAAAACTGTCCTAACCTCAAGTACAAATAGTATTTTTTGCTCGGCAGCCATAAAACTGAATAATATTCGTTAAATTCTTTGTGCCAGGTATCTGATATTTTGCTTGTATATGTCAGGAAATGACGCCGAACGCCTTATTTTAGTTTTTGTTTTGTTTTGTTTTGATATGATTGTTTTCGTAACCAGATGGACGTGCTATACTACGACGAGGAGAAACCGGAGATTGGATCGGCACCTTTCTGGGGCATCAAGGTGCGGTTTGGGCCTGCAATTTAGACGCGCATGCAACGAAGGCGGCTACGGGTGCAGCCGATTTCACGGCCAAAATTTGGGATACATCTTCGGGACAGGAATTATTGTCCATCACGGAGGACCACATTGTACGTTGCCTGGACCTAAGCAAAACAGATTCCGGAGCACATTTACTCACGGCAAACAATTTGAAAAAGATTCGGGTTTACGACTTGGCTGTACCGACTTCCCGTAAGTGATCGCGACTTTCTGCAGTTTGATGATCTGGGAAAGGAATGTAAAGTAATTGCAAAACTGTTTAACAGTGAATAAAACAGGCCCTTAGACTATGTTTTATTCAGCCAACATCTGGATTACAAGCCCAAAAGGGTCAAGGGGAAGGTTTAAACTAAGGCAACAATAAAATAAACACAAAAAACAGTGGTTTGATTTGACATACACCCGTGCGAGTAGTTTTGTGTATGGGAAAAACGCTTCAAACCCTCCGATTTCTCGAATTACACCCCTACTAATGGATGTATATCGGGTTCGGTATTATGCGAGCCTGAACTTTTTATGGGGAAACAGGGTGTTTGTGGGGTCTCGTTCATCAGAGTTTATGACCTGTGAGGGATCGGAGCTGCGAATCATCTTCAGGAGTCGAAGATCCTTTGGTCTATGGGAGTATAGACGTTGTTGACTCAGGCTTAATCTTTGAGTGTCCGACGATTTATGAATACTGTCTTCAGGCCTTTCTGGAAGACAGATGTAACCTTAATTTGAGTTACTTTCGGT